GCTGCCGCTCCACCCCTGCTGCGCCGCGTCCCTTGAGCCCTGAAGTGGTACAAAGGAGCCAGGAGATCCCCAAGGAGAAAACGGGGCTTAATCAGCATAAAAAATGGGGCTGTGCTCTGCACTGGTGCTGACTTGGGGCGTTCGTGTGTTTGTAAAATGTGTCTGAGGAAAAGTGTGGATCCCTGGGTGTAGCTGTGGCCTGGGCTGGAGGGGATCGTGCTGTCCACCACGTCCGTTGGGCCTAAAATCTGTTTTCAGCCTCAGGTAGCTGTGGGCCAATAACTTATTATTGATAGGAATGCTTATTCAAAGTGATTTCTGCATACTAGTCCTGTGAAACTTGAATTTACTGTGAATTTAATAAGCGTTTCAAATGAGCTGCTGCCCTAAATTTTTAAATATTACACAACCAACTTCTTTATTTGTGAGCTAAAGGGGTTTTCAGCCAGTCAAATTTATTTTAACTTTTGAATTTTTCTTGCCTACCTCATCTCTTGAAGAAGGGGAGAAAAGGTGTAACTTCTTGGGGTGTTTTTGTTCCTCTTTCCCACTATTTCTACTTTTGGGGGTGTTTTCGTTCCTTGCTCCCACTATTTCTGAGCGCTCCCAGGCTGGTGATGGGGCAAGAGGGGTGTTTCTCAGGGGGAAGCTGCTTCTGCCACAGTTACAGGATAGAGCAGATTTCCACCGGAGCACCCAGTGTGTACGTTCTACCCAAATTCTAGCTCCTGAAATCTGAAAACACACATCCCTGCGTTTGCGTGACCTGAACAGTGTAACAGGAGCAGTGAGGAAAGGACGAGAGGCGCGATGTGCAAACGGCTCCTCCGCTGGCATCGGTGAAAGGGATGATAATTCGCCCACTTCGGCAGCTGATGTTCTCCTGCGGTGGTTCAGATGTTTGGAATCTCAGCTACTGTAAGAAAGAGAGAAGGCGGGTTTCATCTTAACCTGCACCTCCTCTCTCTCTCTAAACACCTTCTGAATTTCCTGTGGTTTACTGGGTGAATTTTTTCTCTAAGGGCAAATATGAAAGTGTTTTTAATGTCAGCGTGTAGAAGTAATTCCTTGAAAATGCAGATGAAGCAGAATCCAGGGGGAAATTGAAGTGTTAAAGACGTTAATGTTGATATAAACTCTACAGCTCCCAGGTCTGTGGATAATTATGTCCTAATTGCCTTGTCTTGTTTAGCCTAAGGTTGCGTTCCGAGGTGGCGGTCGCTGCTGGAGTGGCGTGGAAGCTGGTGGGAGGCTCACCGATGCGTTCAGCAGCGTAATGACCGGCTCTGGCTCGCTCTACGGCTGCTACAAATCACAGGTTCCGTTGCTTAGAAGTGGAATTTTTTAATATCTCTGTAAGAGTTTGGGTTGCTCGTAAACAGAACAGTCAGAAAATACTTCTAATACAGTTACTTATACTGGCAAACAGAAATCACCGTGTTTGATTTATTCATAATAAATCTCTGTTATCGTAAAGCTCGTCAGAGCAAGCATCATTCAGTGACGTTTTAATACAGAGATGAAGCAGTGGTGTTAGTAAAACAGCATTTCGCTGAGTTCTTTGCTCTGTTAGCGGTGAAGTGGAAAAAGCCTCTCGATAGTTAGGCAGAAAGCCTTACTGGCAATAAAACCTGGGTTTGTGTGATGCTTTCTGTAGCTGCCAGACTACTTTACTCCATAGAGGAGTATATCATATATCTTTAGCAGTGCCCCTGTGAAAACACCAGGCTTTTTTTTCCACTTACTAAGAGCTAAGAAAGCAAATGGTCCTTTTTGGTTAAACTGGGTAGAAAACCTTTGTTCTGGAAAAGAGTTGGCTTTTAGTTTTCTTCAGGAGCTTAAATAACTTGTAACTGCGGGGGGGAGGGGGGTGTCTCTTGGCTCCTGTCAGCAACACCTGTTGGAAGCTGAGCTTAGGCTGACCTGGCCCCCGACTGTCGCTCGTGCGTGTCTGCGCGCTGGGCAGCAGTCGGCAGCAGGAGTTCCCGGGGAGTTGGGTCGGGTGTGTGGCTTCGCTTCCTTCTCGTGCCCCGATTCCTCCAAGGGGGAACTCAGTTACAGCCACGTAGAGCCATGAAGTGACAATTTGTCCTGTTTCGTATTAAAATCGATGCTTTTGTTGCGCATAATAACGCAGAATGAAGAAAACGTAGAGCTACCTCAGACCTACGGTTCTTCCCTTCTGACATCAGAGTACTCCGCACCCGTGGACTCCTCCCTTTCATACGTGCCCTGGTCCACCTATGGAGATGATGGGAAGCAGCCCACGGCCTCTCAGATTGGTGTGAAGCCCAGGTAATCATCCCTGACAGACAGTGTGTGTGAGGATGAAGCAGATGGATTCAATTTTAGTTGTTTAACTTCCGAGAGGGTTCAAATGAAGTGCTTGCTTTGATTAGTATACCCTGTATTTTCAGGATCCAGCCGGAAAGGAATGATTATGGCAGTGAAACGGATTTATACGGGCTTGTGTCGAACATCTTGGAAGAACAAGATAATGCGCAGCCGTACTGTGCCGAGGGGTGAGTGCGTTGCCAGGCGAGCTCGGCCAGCGTTCTCTCCCTCGCTGCTCTCGGTGTCCGCGTTCTCTTAGTCATCTCTGCGTCTGCTCCTGCCGGGTCCTCACGCTCTCTGCAGTTTCCCTTCCTTCCCCCTCATCTTCTGATATTTTGTTTGTGACACTCGAAAGCTTTTCTCTAGGTACTCAAATTAAACGGTGGCTTCTGTCTTTATGGTATTTACAGAACTTCTTAACTGACATTTTTTAAATAAGTCTTTGGCAAGCATTGTGGAAATGCTGTATTTGAATAAATATCCTTGAATATATGCCTTGGCCCATTTTTTTATGGCTCAAGATTGAAATCAAACTTCAGATTTCTTCCTTAATTAATTTTAATTCACAGAATACACAAAATACGAAATCATACTCTTTCACACTTCCCTGAGGAGGCAGGAGAGAAGAATTCTATACAAAATTAATGTTTCTTGATGTTAGCGCTACCTGAGCAGTGCCTGCCTATCTAAATTTAGGATTTATCATGCCTATATCCTAGTACCAGAAGAAATTATTCAATAGTCTTAATGACTTGAGGCAGAAAGATTCAGATCCAGCATCCCTGAGGTGCTGTCTTCTGCCTGAATCCCAGTGTTCAGCGTCTGAGGGATAAAAGAGGGAATGCGGTTCTCGAGATTCCCAAGCTCTTCCCTTCTGTCTTCCCCAACAATTCCAGCGATTTCTGGATAGTTGTGTGGCTGGGGAGGGAAAATTTCGGCAAGAGTCAGCTTTGATCCCGGCAGAGCTTACCGATTCCTTCGCTGTGGACAGTCAGGGTGGGGTTTCTGTTTCCAGAGCTGTCAGATTTGGCCCTGCCCAGGCACAATCTGATTTTTATACTTAGTCTGTTCACAGTCATCCTTGACAGTCGGTTACTGATTGTCCTGGGTTCACTCATGGTAATTAGTGGAAAGGGAATGTACCGAGATGCTTATTCTTGGTTTACCTGCAGGAAGCAGTGTAAGCCAGCGTAAAACCCTGAAGCAGCAAGCGAGGTGATGCAGAGCAGCGTTTTCTCTGGAGTGCTAAGATGTGGCTTTGAAAGGCTGTGGGTAGTTGAGGGAGCACGGTTATCTTGTTGTTTAACCAGGAGGATTTTGGTGGTGACAGATGAAGCCTGACGGCTTCGTGTGTAGCTCCGCAGGTCTGTGGGTGGGTTTAGACAAGCCAGAATCAGTTTTCTCGTCTAGTGAAGGGAAACTGCAGTGGTGACTGTAGTGGACAGAGTCATCGCTGAATCAATCCAGAGAAATTATTAGAGAAGAACTGAGTTTAAAACTGTTTCTGCATTTGGGGGCTCCAAGAGGAGCACGACAGATAAGAACCTAACGATGTCTTTCTTGTTTTTCAAGGAGTTGCCCTCCCAGCTTGACGTCCGTCTGGCCCGTGAACACAGCCAGGGTCGCAGAGCACCACGACCTCTTGCCAGAAACTAAAAGACCAATTGTTGGAGCTGCCTCGCAACAGGGATTTTATAGCGGTGAATCCGTACCGGCGGCTGAAAAACAGTACTTGCAGGGTGGTGGCCTTGCAGCGCAGCAAAAAGCAGACGAGTGTTACCGTGGGTTTACCGGCCCCGACCTCGAAGAGCAGTGTTTGTACCCTTCTAGGAATGATCATGCCAACTGTTGCAACGTGCAGACTAATGAGAATGTGAAGCCAACGCCCGTGTATCCCAACTATCCGTACCTAAAAAACGCTTTTACGCCCCCAATCGGATATTCAGAAGTAATCAAAGACTCGGGAGCCGATGCTTATCTGTACGGCAGGGAGAAGGGCTGTCCCAAAGGAGCGGATGTGCAGTCGCACCAAAAGCGAGCGGAAACGTTTCTTTCGCAGTTTCGCAGATATAACGAAAACGCTGATTACAGCAGATACGCCGAGTATTCTCACATGAGTAAAGCGAAGCCCAACAAGAGCACCGGTTGTAGCCTCCAAGAAAATAAGTTGGTAAATGGAACCGCTGAGGCACCATCTCTGGAAACAGAACCCTATACTAAATTATTTCAAGTTAAATCAGGAACTCAGAAAAAAATTGAAGATAGAATTTCGGATCAGCAAAACTTGGCATTTCCCAAAGCAAACGAATCCCTGTTCTGCGCTGATTTGGTGCAAAAATTTGAATATGGACTGAAATCTTTTGCGACTTACCCAGGGAATAGTGACTGTGCGAATGGTGTGGAGAAGCAGCAGTTTTCCAAGCCAGAGCAGAATCCTGAATACTATAAATCCCTCCTGCTGTTGCCAAACGCAGCGAACCCTTCAGCCGGCGCCAACGTGAGGCCCCCGTGGGTCAACGTCCACACTAAACCCGCTGCTTCTGCCGCGTTTCAGAACGCAAATCCTTTGCTGAAATTGAATAATCACTTACCTGCTTTTCAAAAGAGTTCCAGCCATCCTAATGATTTCTTTCCGTTATCGTCTTCAAATTTCTCTTTAAATAGTAACTTATTTCACAAGTACTGCCAAGATAATCCGTCATTGCTCCCAGCTCCTGAATTTGGTTGTAACGCTGCAGAACGAGCTCGCTCTGCTGCTTGCATGGAAGCGCTCCTTCGGAGCAGAGAAGAGAATCTCCTCGAGTGTTTAAGTGAGAAGAAGTTAAAGCTGCCGAACGGCTTCTGCGACAATTACTCAGCTCAGCAGTTCGGCTTCATCGATAACACCAGCAAACAGTGGTTCCAGCTGAAGCCGCAGAGCGAGCGTTACGATCCGGAAGGCCCAAACCACCTGGACGGGTTGTTGCAGAGCACCTACCGCGATTTCGGGGAGCCACAGGCTCCGTTTGTTCTCCGGCAGGGCGGCGGCGGCGACGGCAATCCCGTGCCCTGCCTCCAGCCCCCGAGCGTCAGCAGCCGCGCGCTGGGGGACTTCAGGAGGAACCAGCAGCTCGGCTCGAGCGCGTTCCCCTGGAGATCCGCTTACCTGCTGGGCCGCTCCGTCGTCCCTGTGATGGAGTCGTGTCACTTCTTGTCCCGCGAGGATTTAAAACGCTTCTACCCTTATTTGAACGAGAAGGGCTACGGCGAGGGTTCTCTCTCGGGTTTCATACCGGCGTTTGGCTCGCCGAGGCAGGCGAAAACCCGGAGCGGGTCAGCCAGCGAACTTCACCTTAGGCTAGAAGAATGTTATGAGCAGTGGAGAGCTTTGGAGAAGGAAAGAAAGAAGGTAAAGAAAAAAAAGAAATGAATGTGCCCTATCACAGATTTGAGGTAGATCTGCTCCTCCTCGGAGCGGTTTGAGATCGTGGGTCATTCTTACCGGCTTGAGTTGAAAAGTTTAATGCGAATTCCAGTTTAGAGTTTGCTTCCCGGTATGTTTAGACTGACAGGAGAGGTTTTGCAGGTTTAGAGCGTGGTTGGGAGCACAACTGGGGTCACACTGAACGTTATTCTTAAAGCAGGAGTTCAGTGACTTTTTCGGTCTCTGGGCCCGGGCGAGGCTGTCGGGTGACTAACGAAGCTGTGTTCCACTCTGGGATTTGTTTTTTTAGCCCCCGGATACTCTGAAAGCAAATCCAGTAATTATATTTGGAATTGGGCCTAAACTTTTAAGGCATTCAAGAATTAATGAAATTTCTTAGGCCCTGCCACTTCTGGTTTGTCCAATGACTCCTTCGCACCTCGTTTCCCTGAAGTTTTAAATCCCAGATGTGTTTGAAGGGACTCTATTTTTTTATTTTATTTTTTTTCCCCAGAAACAGAGGCTGAAGAAATAGTGATATTATCGAATCCTATATTAAAACACTTCAACTAAAAGATTCCGGGAGTGCCGTATGAACCCCTGCTTAGAGCAATTTTCCTTTTTGCTCGTGGGTGGAAGTGCTTCAGGCTGCCCTGGCGGAGAGTGAAAGCTGAGTTTCACCAGCTGAGCTCACACTGAAATTCAAAAAACGAACTGGAGCTGTGGCCTTGAGAGGTTGTCACCTGGGAGTGGGGGGGGCTGACAGCTTCCCGGGGGAAGCTCTGCTGTGCCAGCCCCCGCAGAGAAAACTTCATCGGCAGGAGAAATAACCTGGGGAAGGGGGGACAAAGGGGTTTGCCAAAATGTTTCCCCACAGTTAAATGAGAATGAGCCTGACTGGACGAGGGGCTGGCGTAGAAAAGCGCAAAAGAGCTGACGCAGGCTGTGAAGTTGAGGGGGGAGGAAGAAAATTAGGGCACAGCTTTACTTGGGCCACCTGAAAACAATCTCAAAAAGGCAATTGTAAAGCAGATTCAGCTATTTGTACATCATTACAGGTATTCCAGAGGGAAATTTGAAATCGTGCCGTCAGGTTTCAGAGTAATTTCTGACAGCTAAAATATGATTTCACTTGAGCAAAACATAAAAAGCATTCAGTAGTTTGGCTGATCTGCACAAAATTCAGGTTAATTTCTGACTTCAACGATTTTATTTTAATTTCGTGGGTGCAGTTCGCATCCGTTTGCTCGTTCTTTTTTGCCTCGTAATTCTGACTCACCTCCGTTTTATTTGCAGGCGAAATTAGTACAGGCTGTGGTCAGAGGGTGAGAGGAAAGAGCACTTCAGAAACACCTCATGTTGGCATAATTGGCTGAACCGCCTCAGTCAAGCGATTGTTCACTGAACCCAGACCGTTGTCTTACTAAATGGTTAAATCCCAAATGCCTGAATCCTCATTATCTGCTTTAAAAAATAAAATCCCAAACCCTTAAGGAGGGACATTGTACATCTGGTCGTTTTTCTTGTTTCTGTAACGAAGCGCGCTTTGCAGCTTATGTGCTCAGGGAGTTATTCTTTTGTTTTCCTGCAGACTGAATCAGCTCTTGCTAAGAATTTCCACGGGAAAAAGGTTTCCAGTGCTAACAACGCTGCGATCCCAAGGCTGCCATCAAACCCGTCAAGAGTTGATCGCTTAATTGTGGATCAGCTACGTGAACAAGCCAGAGTGAGTTGTAGCATAATAATCTGTTGAACTTCACACACAGAACTTAAAGTACTGTAGCAGATCTGGAAGATGATCAGAGCAGGGTGGGGTTTTTTCCCCAAAATAGCTTTGTTCTCAAATGCTGTGCGGGGAAAGACATTTCAGCAGTCCCTGCTGGAATTTCTACAGCTCCAGGTTCGCTGCTGCTGTTACCAGGGAGCCCACGGAGCGGCTGAGGCTCACGTTTAGGCCGTACGTGCCAGGAGGATGGGGTTTCTGGTACGAGAGCGAGCGTGAGATGCCAGAATCCAGTCATCCAGCTGGACTGCTCGTGCAGCTAACGTGTGCCTGGCTTCTGAGCTCCTGTTGGGAACAGCCGAGCAGAGAAACACTCACTGTAGAGTTATAGACACTGCGTTAGAGGAGAGATTGGCGGGGAAACAAAACGAGTTTAATTAATGCTTGTAAGACTTTGATACGTGTTTGCCTGAGAGTGCTGCATTTTTTTTAGTGCAGAGTGGTCATTTGATGCAACTTCAGCCTGAATTTCTACAGTATAGAATCAGAGAGTGTTGGGGTTGGAAGGGACCTCCAGAG